GTCGACCCCAGTTGTAAGAGCAACAAATGATAACTTGACTTCTATTTGATCATTTGGAAAAGTGGCAGAAGGTCGATTTTTCCTGTTGAACTGCATCCCAGGCATCACAAATACTGCAGAAGACCTATTGGAATCCGCATGGATCCAAGATTCTCTGAGAAATCAGTCAAGTTTGGTGAAGGAAAAATTAGGGTTTGGGGTTACATATAGTATGAGGGCGTGCGAGAGATCTGCAGAGAGGATGGCAGCATCAATAACCTGAGGTATCAAGACATTTGAGCTGTCCATTACATAACAAACAATAGGAGAGGGCAGATTAAAGTTCACATTAAAGTTCCTGAAAGCAAAGTAGGTCAAAATGCTCTAGGATTGGCCAGCTCAGTCACCACACATAAACATTATTGAGCATTTCTGGGGTTTGATACTGTGCTAGTACGATTTGCTCACCCTCCGATAGTGGTTGGCTTTAGAGTTGGGATTTGGGGACACGTCTCGTACACAGTCATATGACTAAAATCATGTTAATTTGTATGAATTAGCCACCCTCATAGGAAAATTTATCTGGCCCAGATTTGGCCCACACCATCAGCATTTGCTTGGCACACATGCCGCAGTGAATTACGGTACATGACTGGACCAAGTCTGGCTTCCATACAAAAGGCAAACATGGACCATATCTGGGCCAAGTCTCAGCCAAGTTAATAACCCATAATTAGGTCTGAACTGGGCCAGATATGTTGGTGTGACACGACTGTAATGTTTTTTCGCTTCATGGCTGTGCTTTTTTCTTGAAGCGACCTCATTGAAAGAATTTTTTCTTTACTCAAAAATTATTTTAATGTATTTTAAATGTGGGTCAAGATAGGCCGAACTTATGTGGTCCACATATACATTTTGACAAATGGGCCAAATACTACATTTGACATCTGGCCCAAGTCACCTCAGCCAAACTCGGGCCATGTTTAGCCCACATGCTGCATGCCAGTGCTGGACAAATACCTCCCACATAGCAAAATTTCTCTGGCCCAGCTCTGGCCCACACAATCAGCGTTTGCTTGGCCCACATGCCGCAGTGAATTACGGTACATGACTGGACCAAGTCTGGCTTCTAGGCAAGGGACAAACATGGACTATGTCTGGGCCAAGTCTAACCAGATTAATAAACTATAACTGGGCCATTGGAAGCCAAATTCCAGTAGCAACACAGGATAGAACAGATCAATAATTCAAACAATTAAATCTTAATTGTTTCCTGGATAATGAAGGCATAAGAAGATGCAAACAGGAAGACGGAAATTATTTTGTGTATTAAAATATTTATTTACTCTTCTTTTAAATAATTCAACGGATTTTAAATGTGGGTCAAGATAGGCCAAACTCACGTGGCCCACATATAAATTTTTAATATTTGGGCCAAATACTACATTTGACATCTGGCCCATGTCTTGTGCGCTGCCTTAAAGATGGTGTCATCTCTGCCAAACCTGGGCTATGTGTGGTCCACATGCGATATGCAAGGGCCAGATGAATGTCTGCTGGGCCAGCTTTATGCCAAATCTGGGCCAGAATTCTTTGCTACCTGGGTGTTCACTGCGGCATGTGGGTCCAAGCAAATTATGTGGGCCAGAGATATTTAGCTATGTGGGAAGGAGGTGCCACCAAACTAGGCCCATGTTTGGCCCACATGCTGTGTGCCAGTGCCGGATAAATGCCTGCTGTGCCAGATTTGTGCCAAATCTGGGCCAGAACTCTTTGCTACCTAGGCTGCTGTGCCAGATTTATTCCAAATCTGGGCCAGAATTCTTTGCTACCTGGACACTGTTCTGCTAATATGTCAAATTGTTATGTTTCCTCATTAGATATAATATAGCCTTTGTTTGCTTGTGGAGGACAGAAGTTCCTTTAAATTTCTAAAATCTAAAGGGAGCTGGACAAACTTTTGCAATAGTCTAAAACAATAGCAGAATCGGATGATAAAAGCCACTAAAGTGATGTTTTCTTAAGTGAGTGAGTTGTTTTTCTTGGGTTACAGCATGTACACAACTAAGTTCCCTCAAACACTCTTTCGGGTCCCTACATGTAGTTTTTGGCCTTTGATTAAAAGTCTATACTCAGTAAATTATGCTCCGAAATAAAGATCTTGATCCAATTCAGGCTTGCGAATTTGCTTAATTCCCAACTACTCAATAACTGAACCGATATCACAAGTTATCGCCATTGCCGAAGGAGCTTCCCCAGGCAAAATGAGGATAAAACACACAAAGATTTAGTTCTGTGTCGGTCTTAAGCAAATGATATTCCGAGATTCACATCCTCACACAATGACTCATCCGGTAAGCCCTAAAAAGCAGCTTTCGGATGATACACACTCTTCTTTTTTTTTAAACAAATGCAAACTCTGACAAGTCGAATCAAGAATGCACCATCACAAAAGCACATATTTAGATTGATGGGGCAACATGTACAGAATGCAGTTCCAGTAGTGCAAATAAGTTCAGCGGTTTGGTAAGATGTGCAGTAAATACACACGTAACAGTGCCCTCTATCAGCTCTCCTCATAAGAACCTCTGGTTTAAACCATGAATAAAACATGAAAACACACACCGATGAAAGTAGGAAACTATTCTCAAAGGAATAGTTCACTCAGTGTTTTCTAAACCCGTATGACTTTTCTTCTTCAGCAGAAGCAGACAAAGGGAGACATTTTGAAGAATGTTTACACTCTGTCAGCAATAGCTCATAAAAATAAAATGATGTTCATGTTAGCTTGCATTAAGGTCTGCGGGAAATGGTAGAAAGGCTATATTGAGTAAGGGTGGGGCTTTTTTTTGTGTATTGTTCCCTCACAGCAAACTAACAGTAAGTGAGGGACTATTATTCAAAATAAATATCATTGTCAGAATTTTTACTATTTGACTATTAGGTACAAAAAACAGCATTTAAAAAAAAAAAAGGTTTAGGAAACAGCAACACATATAGTGTTGAAGTCAGAATTATTAGCATTTCTGAATTATTAGACCCCCTGTTTATTTTTTCCCCCCAAATTCTGTTTAACGGAGAGATTTTTTCAACACATTTCAAAACATAATAGTTTTAATAACTCATTTCTAATAGCTGCTTTATTTTATCTTTGCCATGATGACAGTAAATAATACTTTACAAGACTCTTCTATACAGATTAAAGTGAAATTTAAAGGCTTAACTGGGTTAATTAGGTTAACTAGGCGGGTTAAGGTCATTAGGCAAGTTATCAATAATGATGGTTTGTTCTGTAAAAAGCAATTAGCATTTTTTTTTAGAATTTAGCATATTAAAAGGGGCTAATAATTTTGTCCTTAAAATGGTGTTTAAACAAGTAAAAACTGCTTTTATCCTAGTCGGAAAACAAAAACAAAAAACAAATACAACTTTCTCTAGAAGAAAAAATATTATCAGACATGCTGTTAAAATTTCCTTGATCTGTTAAATATCATTTATGAAATATAAAAAATAAATTAAAAAATAAAGGGGGGTTAATTACTCTGACTTCAACTGTATGTGCAAAAACAACTAAAAATGCTGAAAATACACGCCAGTCCAGGAGGGATTCATCACTACTTTTACAAAATATTGTTTTCAGGTCAACAACATGGCGTTCATATTTATTGATTTTCCCTCGGCTTAGTACCTTATTTATCAGAAGTTGCCATAGGGGAATGAACCACCAATTATTCCGGCATATGTTTTACATAGCGGATACCCTTCCAGTCACAACGCAGTACTGAAAAACAACCATACACTGCAAAAAAAATGCTTTTCTTAGATTTTTTGTTTTGTTTCTAGTCCAAATATTTAAAAGAAGCATTTTCTAGACAAGAAAAACATATTGCCTTTTTTAAAGAAATAATATGCCAAAATGAAGCGAGTTTTCCCTTAAATTAAGCTAAATAATCTGCTTATGGGGTAAGCAAAATAATCTTATCACAAATCGAAAAACAAGACTATTTTGCTTACCCCACTGGCAGATTATTTTGCTTGATTTGAGGAGAAACTCACTGCATTTTGGCATATTATTTCTTAAAACAAGACAATATGTTTTGCTTGCCAAGAAAATGCTCCTTGATTTAAGAATTTGTAGATATTTGGACTACAAACAAGAGAAAAAAAATCTAAGAAAAGCATTTTTTGCAGTGTACACTCATTCACACACATACACACACACTCACACACTGCAGTCAATTTTTGTAGTTCATCCAATTCACCTATTGGCTTGTCTTTGGACTGTGGGAGAAACGGAGCACCAGGAGGAAACCCATGCCAACACAGGGAGAATATGCAAACTCAGAAATGCCAACTGGCCCAGCCGGGACTCGAACCAGCGACCGTGCTGCCCATATAATGAATATTTGTATAGCTCAACATCCCTTGATCTTCGTTTACTTAAATTGCATGAAAAACAACAGCGTGAACATTCTTCAAAACATCTCGTTTTGTGCTCCACAGCTAAAAGAAAGAAAAGTGAGTAAATGATGACTTCATTTCATTTGTGTGTGTGTGTGTGTGTGTGTGTGTGTGTGTAGGTGAACTATTCCTTTAAAGATTAAACATTAAAAATACACAACAAAAGTTAATAAATATAAAAGCAGGTTCAAAACGAAGCATCGACTGGAACAAAAACACCTTCGTTTAAAGTGCTCAGGCAGAATACATTTACCATGAAAATAAAATAAAAAAAGAAAACAAATCAAAGCAAAAGAAACAAATACACTGATGCTAACAGGAAGACGTCCCTGGCAGCTAAGAATTGCTTATTTCAGGATGTTTCAAGGCTTGTCTCCTTTTTTGTCAGGGGTTTGTTAGGATGTTGGGCAGTGGAAGAAGCCAGCCGGCAGCTGGAAACTGAAGAATGGAAGAAGAGGTTGTTTTCGCAGGCAGTGTAATCGACACCTGAAAGGTTCCTTCTGGCTGGATCAGGAGCGTCTAGTCCAAATATCTCTCCAGTCCCCATTTTTCTATATTCATTTTTTTTTTCAATTACTCTTTACTGTCTTTTCAGACACGGCAAACAGAACAGAACTGATTTCATCTAGATGACCAGAGATAATCTAGAAGGAATGTGTTAAATTAGGCAGTGGAAGAGGCAGTGTTTTCTATCCCTGGTCCCCGATGGAAAACTTTGGAATGCTGTTGGATGTTTTAAGGTGTGAATGGGAGCTTATATGTGTAATAACCGCACCTACGAGCCCGGCCCTCCTTCAAGAACATCTGTGGAAACAGTCTCTCTCGGTTCACCCTCATCTCGTTTTAGCCGCTGATGAGACCGAATCGTCTTCTTTAACACCTTCAGTCTGGTGGCCCGTGGCTGTAATTCAGTGCTGATTGGGGGATTTGATGACGTGTTGTGCATGTTGAAAAGTGAATAAAGGAGAGGAGGGAGGGAGGGAGGGAGGGAGGAGGAGCGGGTTTACTTCTTGGCAGTGAGCGCTGCTAACGTGGCGTCCACCTCTTCTTCGGGTTTGAGTGGATGCCACTGAGCGATGGGCCTGCGTGGGTTGGCCAGCATGTCGGACCAGTGCCGGAGCTCGGTGCCCTGCGCTTTACTGCCCACCCAGATCTTCCCGATGGCATCGTTCTTGCCGATCTTATCGTAATCGAGCACTGTGATCACAGCTTGTATTTTCTAGGTAAACAGAAACGGATATTAGCATTAGAGGTTGAAGCAGTGCCAAAAAAAGGTAAGGTTTCTAAAAACAACACATTCTCACTACCAACGTAGCAGGATTTAATTACAGAAAACAATCAGGCTAATATTCGCTGATACCCTCTGATTTAAAAATATTTTTGTTTTTAGTTTAGTTTATTTGTTTATAGCAGGGGATCACCAAACTTGTTCCTGGAGGGCCGGTGTCCTGCAGATTTTAGCTCCAACCCTATCAAACACACCTGAACAAGCTAATCAAGGTCTTATTTATAATGGAAACACCCAGGTGTGTTGAGGCAAGTTGGAGCTAAACCCTGCAGGGACACTGGACCTCCAGGACCGAGATTGGTAAACCCTGGGGTCCGTTCTTCGTAGCTCGCTTAAATGATCTAAGATGATTTGGCAGATCCTGGATCTGTTCCTCTTGATAACTGATCTCTGGCTAATTTGGTTCTTCAAACAAGTTCGTGAATCAGATTAAAATGTCTAGATGAACTGATCTGAGATCGCTGCATGTGTTGTGAAGGACAGATATATTAATCCTTGAAATTATGATTAGCAATGCAGGGATTGGCTGACGGCACAGCAGCGTAATGACATCATCTGATTAATATTCAATTATCCATGTGAGCAAAATTACATCAAATTAGCAGTGAACGGTTTGTTAAATATGACACGCAATAATCTTCCACATTGGTTATGAGCGGCAGGCTTTACACTCTTATGTTTTAAGAGTATTCATCATTAGGGGTGTCACGATTTCGATTTTTAATCGAAATCGATCGAAATTTATGCTCAGTTTCGATTATCGAATCAATAAATAGAATCGCCGATGCTGCCACGCCCCCATGTCATATCAGCTTGGCTTGCCAAGCGGGAAAATAACAGGCTTGTTGAAGTGCTTGTTAAACTGCAGACACAGGAGACCCGTCGACAGAACTTAAACCCTCTCCTCTTTCAATGAAGTCGCCGGTGTGTAAGCATTTTGGATTTCCAGTGAGTTATGTTGTCGACAAAAAAAAAACACAGTTTTGCAAGCTCTACTATGTACGTATTACGTACGGTTCGTCCGATAGACAACACCGGCATCGCGATCCTCCGCCCGCCCCGTTGCAAATCCGCTCGCGAAAAGTACACACTCAGGCCCTGTTTACACTGTCTTTGTTTTTAAATGGCATTTTAGAACGACAACGATTTGACATCCACAGTGGCGTGTAGCATTTCTGAGCAGCCCTCCTTCCTCTCTACCTCTGAAAATGCACATCACGTGACCGCACAGACACAGCCATGCGCTCGAGACAGCAGGTCCAGGCAGTCAGAGGACTGCTTCAATCTTTCACTCACTTGTACTTAGTCATTTTAGCGAACACCTCAGATACTGTTGGCTGGTTCCTGTTGGTTGTGCGTCTTTTTTACCGACGCCATTATAACGACACAGATCACTGCCTATTCACGAGTCCCGCAGAAAAAGTGATTGACAGGTGGTAATTATGTGTGTATCTTTATTCATTTACTGTATGGTTTGTTTATGGGTAAACAAAGACCATGCAGGTCAGGTAGTTTAAACGTTAGGCTACAAATAATTAATTGGTCATTAATTAATTAATTATTCATAATCGAAAATCGAATCGAATCGTCCTCTAAAATGGTAAAATGTTGTAAAATGTACCTGCATCTGGTCCTGTGGGATCTCAAAGCTGAAGGACTCGTTGTAGTAAGGGTTCAGGGTGTTCTTCTTCACAGTTGTCTTCTTCTTCTTCAGTCGTTTCCCATTTTGCAGAAGATGTATCTTCACATAGGGATCTGTGGAAAAAATGTAAGAAGTTATTTTTAAATTCCTATTTTTTTTTTATATTTTTAAAATATTTTATTAATTTTACATTGTAACTAGTCATTATTATTATTATTGTTATTATTACATACTGTAGATGTTTACATTTGTATTAGATGTATTTTGTGTCTTAAATATGAAAAAAAGAACACCAGACAAGCAACTCTCGGACACCTGCTTGTTTTTTGTAGCTTTTTTTTATAGGTGCAGACTATGCAGCAGTTTATATATAACACACTATGTAACACAAGCAAGTGATGCGATGACAAACAGTTGGTGCATCGCACAGCACAGCACAAAACTGTTACTATCTCTAACATAACACAACAACAGCAGCATATCTGGGTTCAGAGAAACGCCAGTGCTGGAAAGCCTTTCCATTCTTATTACAGGTCTAATAATAGCCCATCTTTTAACGGTGGTTTTATCCATCATGATCTAATAAGACTCCTATTCCTGACTGGCTTAAAGAGTGTGCTCAGTCTGATTGGTTAGATACACTTAAATTATTTTCCACAATGTTCCAGTGTATGCCACTCATTGGAAATGCATGCCTCGGCCAATATTTTTGCAAAACCTGTTTTGCTGTTTATTGCAGATCAGCGGAGCACCTACCTACAGTAAACCCAAACTCTAGTGTTTGCAAAACCAAACAAATGAGAAAAGTGCACTGTGACTACATAGTTTTACCTTGATTTTACATTGCTTTTATCACTTTTTTGAACATGTGCTTCACCAAACTTGAACTTGAGAGCTTTGCATTACAAGTACAACACTGTACAAGGTAAGTAAACGAGCAAACTGACCACCCCAGAGAAGTTGTTCATATGGAGATATATAGGTGATGCAGGGAAAGCATCCCCACGGTGTTTAACGGGCCATTAACTGAACCCTTGGAAGACACTTGAGCATATTACTCTTAAAGAGATTGTGATTTAGTTTGAAGGTAAATTGCTTTAAATTGTTTAAATTAAACTTACTAGATGATATTAAAATGATTTATTATGATATGATATGATATGATTATATATATATATATGCATACATACATTTATATATATACACACACACACACACACACACACACACAAAAAAACACACACACACACACATATATATATATATATATATATATATATATATATATATATATATATATATATATATATATATATATATATATATATATGCATACATACATTTATATATATATACATACACACACACACACACACACACACACATATATATATATATATATATATATATATAAACTGTTGTGAAGAAAAAATCTAATTATGTATGGAAAGCATCGTCAAAGCACCGAGATGCACCGAAATTGAACCAAATCAATAGCCTGATAATTGTAACCGAACCAAACCGTGAGACCAGTGTAGATTCACACCCCATACTTATTACAATTATAGATCTTTTTCCTGGCTGCTGCATGGAGGGCGCCATAGTGACCAGCGTCTTCCGGTAGAATGTTTAGAACTTTTACAACCAAAAATTTCCGATCTGAAAACGGGTTTCAGCAGCGTTTTCAGTGGATTACGGAGTGTTTTTGTGACACACAACTTTGAAAGGTGTGTGTTATAGCTGTTATAATCTGTCAGATCTGTGGTTTAAGCGCGAGAGAAAAACAGTATCGTAAGCCATGTCTCTTTTGTTCTGCTTAATCAGTGTCCTAAAAATAAATATTTGAAATAAACAAAATAATAAGATGTCTTTTGACTGCTTTTTCATAAATACATTACACAATACTTGTACTTTAACTTTCATTGCTTGAGTAGTAAATTTTGAAATAAACTACTTGCAATACTTAAGTACAAAAAACGTTGAATACTTTAGTACTTCCACTTAAGTATGGTGCTTAAAGAGCACTTCAACTTCTACTCAAGTCACTTTTTTGATAGAGCACTTGTACTTTTACTTAAGTCTGGGTCTCTAGTACTTTAAATATCTCTGAAAAAGTAGATTAAGGGAAATAATATTGTAGATAATGTTCAGTTTTCAATCAGACCTCAATGTATCATTAGTATAATATCTCATAGTGATAGTAGAAATGCCAACTGACCTAGTCGGGACTCAAATCAGTGGCCTTCTTGCTGTGAGCTGACAGTGCTAACCACTGAGCCAACATGTCGCCCTAGCTAAAACTTAAACATAAAACAAAAAATATTTTTTAATAAATAATTGAATACTACAATTAAACAACTAAAAAGGCTAATCAGCCTAAGGAAAAGGGATATTTCATTATGCTCAATGTTGAACTGATTAGTGATTCGGCAATGAATATTAAAATACAGAATCATTTGATGAATACGGTAATAGCCTCCTGAGACTCCGCCCATTGACTTGTGTCCTCTGTAGTGGACATTGTGTTTTCATTAATTGTCTTTGAATTTTTTGAGCTACTCTGTCATGTCCTGTTGTACTGTTCAGAGGACATCCTGGGCTTTCTAATAATTTGTTATTTGATTGGCCGGCATGCTATGAACCACTTCTTACACCTCATCCAAAATGGCCGACAAACAAAAAAGCACATTTTATGGGAAGGAGAGAGCTATGTAAAATTGAGCTTTTTTAAATGTTTTTACTATCATTATTACATTTATATTTGTTTATTAAAGTGTCAGGAACAATAGATTTAGCGTTCAAAGCTGTTAACTTGTTTGTGTTTCAAAATATCATCCTTTTTTAAATGTCCAATATACCGGACACCAGGACCATATTAGTGTAATTAATGACTGCATGTTGTAGGGGGCAGAACTGAAGCAGAGAGGATTCTTTATAAGATAGTTGAGGGAGACTCTGATTTAGAGTCTGACAATCAGACAGAGAATTAGAGACAATTAGAGAATGACAATCAGTTTTAAATGGCTTTTATGTTAAATTTGTTTTGAATTAACATCACGTCTTTTTTCTATTTCAGGAATTTCAATACCAAAGGAAAAATGGCTTTTGTTTTGTTTTTGTTACATTAATATTGGATTAATATCCCTTTACAGCCATATCCTGTACAGTTTTCTTGTCTGAGTGGCGGTCATTTCAAACTAAAATGGTCCTGTGGTCCAATACAGTGGTCATGCTGTAAAATTAAAAGTAAAAACAAAATGTAAAAACTCTAAATTGTAGAATTTTTTAACCCAAAGGATGCAGGAAATAAAAAAAAAAGACAAAAAAAAATGTCTTTGGGTCTCAGGAGGATAGGCAGCTCTTTTTAAAACTATACACGGTACTATACATGCTGTGATATTTTCTTTAAGTTCATTAAAAATACATGGTGGCGCAGTAGGTAGCACATTTGCCTCACAGCAAGAAGGTCGCTGGTTTGAGCCTTGGCTGGGTCAGTTGGTGTTTCTGTGTGGAGTTTGCATGTTCTTGTTTGTGTGGGTTTCCTCCGGGTGCTCTGGTTTCCCCCAAAGACATGCGGTATAGGTGAAGTGGGTAAGTTAAATTGACCTCATGTGTGTGAATGAGTGTGTATGGATGTTTCCCAGTGATGGGTTGCAGCTGAATGGGCATCCTCTGCCTAAAGCACATGCTGGATAAGTTGCAGGTTCATTCCACAGTGGAGACCTCAGATTAATAAAGGGACTAAACTGAAAAGAAAATGAATGAATGAAAGTACATGTATTAAAACATATATTTCAAATATTAAACTGGAATTAGGAGTGTCCATACATAAATACATGTACAGTATAATAATTAAATAATTAATTTTAATCAAACTTCAAGACATATCTTGACTGGTATATAATTTTTTGTTTTTTTAATCTTAGGCCATCAACAGCAATCCTTTCACAAAATGTCTCCTACTGTCACCCAGTTTTAAGATTCAAGCAGTAGTTCACTTTCAGAATGATTGTTCAACATTGACTTCCACTTACAGCTAATGCTCACTATTGACGTCTATAGTATTTTTTTCCGCTATTATGGAAGTCAGCTGTCACCAGCAACTGTTTGGATAGCTTCAGAAGTTCTTCAAAATATCTTCTATTGTGTTAACGAGCAGGCTTGGAACAAGTGGAAGCTTGCTGAGGAAACAAATGATGACTGAATTTACATTCTAGAAGTCTTTTAAGACTGGTCTGAACAGTTATCTCCCAGTTTGTGATTGTCCAGCAGGCGGCAGCATTGAGCACTGACTATAGAGATGCACAGCGATGTGCCAGCAGGACTGCAGAGTCAGCACGTGAGCGCTATCTGTTCTGCATGGCTACCATTGACACACAGGCACGTGCACGTCTCACGCGAACATGACCATTTCATGAACTCACTATCGCTCAAACAAGGCATAGAAGACAATATTTGGCAAAATGCAGATAAGAGAAAGCAGAAATCATTCTTATGGTTTATGCAGGAACATCCAGTTCATCTACTCCTCCCACTCTCTAAAAGAGAGACAGGAGAAAAGAGGAACAGCAGAACATTACAGTGTATGTGTGTGTGTGTGTGCGTGTGTGTGTACCTGAGAGTCCCCCCACATCCATCTTTTTTAGGTTCTTCGCCTCCAGGATACAGATGGTGAGTTTTCCAGCTGTAGGTACATAGCGCAGAGAGATGCAGATATCTCCAAGCTTTTCAGGCTGTTTCGGGAAAATAAAATATGGGTTATCTAAGGCAGTGGTTCTCAAAGTGGGGGTCGGGACCCCTTGAGGGGTCACGGAACAATGAAGGGGGGTCGCCTGGTGATTTCCAAAAATCTACTTATTATTATTAGGCCATAAGAATTACCATATTTTATCCATAACCAACTCAAGAGAATAAAACAGTCATTTATAGTTACTATAGAAGCTTTTTTACTAGTTCTATTGGATTGCGACCCCTGGGGTAAATACATTATATTAAAGACAATAGCGTCAGATGCAGCAGATTGATTTTATAACACCAGCTTAAACTTTCTGGCCCATTTACAGCACTGACATACATAAAAAAATAAATAAACGAAGAATAGACTTTTGTCTATTGGTGTGTGAGTGCGCCATTGCATGCAAGTTTTCTGTATTTATAACCACCTCAGAGGATATTGGGGGTCGCGAGTCACTGGCATTGTTATTTTAGGGGTCGCATGCTGAAAAGTTTGGGAACCCCTGATCTAAGGGACAGTTCACACTGAAATGAGAATGCATTGTTTTTTTTTTAAGTAGGGCTGGGTATCATTTAAAAATGTTCAATATAATACAATCATTCCATGCAGTATGTGGGCCAGATGTAAGTGTCTGGTGTGGGCCGAATTTGAGCCACATTAATTTTGCTAGCTGGGATACTTATAATACAATACTGGTTTCCTAACTATGGTGGCCAAGAGAACCTAACACGCTACAATTTACAGAAAAGCAGCGCAGTAAGAAAATTCTTTAATCAGTTTTAGAACAAATGGGTTGTGATTTCTCACAATGCAAAAACATTAAGAAAATGCACCTCAGATAGCATACGTATGTGGGCCACTTTAGGCAGTTATGCAGCACTGGTGGTATTCCTTCGGGCCAGACAAAATGAACGTGAGCCTGAAGTGGCCCATCTGTACAATGCCAAAGGGTGGCCAAAGATTCAAATTCATAAATGGGCCATTTAAGGCAAAGATTTGGCACTTATGGCAAAATGTAATCTGAATGTGAGCCTAATGTGGCCCATGTGGAATATTAGAAATTTGGCCCAAATTATGGGGGATAAATGTGGGCCACAGTTGGCAAAATTGTGGCATAGTCATTTAAGAGTAATCTGGGTCTAAAGCAGGGTGCAAATGTGGCCCAGTTATCTTAAGACACTTTTGTGGACCACTTTTGGCAAATGTTTGGCACAGTAAGCTCTGGCTATTGCGGCTGTGAGCCTAATGTGGCCCAGAGAAAATGTGGCAAATGTGGCCCAGTTATTTTAAAACATATGTGGGCCACTTTTGGCAAATATTCGGCACAGTAAACTCTGGCTAATGCAGCCGTTAGCCTATAGTGGGCCAGAGAAGATATGGAATATTTGGCCCAGTTATCTTAAAACATATGTGGGCCACTTTTGGCAAAAAATCGGCACAGTAAACTCTGGCTAATGCAGCTGTTAGCCTATGGTGGCCCAGAGAAGATATGGAATATGTGGCCCAGTTATCCTAAAACATATGTGGGCCACTTTTGGCGAATATTCGGCACAGTAAGCTATGGCTAATGTGGATTTGAGCCTATAGTGGCCCAGAGAAGATATGGCAAATATGGCCCAATTATCCTAAAACGAATGTGGGCCACTTTTGGCAAATATTTGGCACAGTTAGCCCTGGTTAATGTGGCTGTGAGCCTAAAGAGGCTTAGAGAAGATATGGCAAATGTTGCCCGGTTATCTTAAAACATATGTGGACCACATAGACTAAAGTCACCATCATGGATACAAGTATTTGCTTTAGTTAAGTTCATAGCCCTGAACCTCTTAATATAAATTTTCTCTTAATAGTATACAAAAGACAAGGGAATCAGTCACTGAACTGAACAATAGTCATAGCACAATAAGCAAATCCCAGTTCGGTCCACCACATTTTGGTTCCTCTTTAAACATTTCCATTGTGCTCCATGCAATTTGCATGTGATGTGAGAAATTGCAGCTTGTTTTCCTAGTTTGTTTGCTGTCATACAGATGAAGATATTTTCTTAATTTGTTGGTGTTTAGGGTTATTACATGTGTTATTTACAACAATCTCAGCCACCGTACCAAACAATACTACATACATTACTGTACATGTATGTTAATACTTACAGATCATAATAAGTATGATCTTTCATTTTTTGCATTAACATATGTTACATTGAATGTCTATGGGACATTAATATTTTTATAATTATATATTTTTAATATTTTTACCCTATTTTTAATTTAATTTTCACAAAATTTATTGAAATATCAAAGTAGACACTTGCATTTAATATGTGTTTAAAACATAACCAATGTCAATTGAATTTGACACCATTTAATAACATATGTGAATGACAGAAGAAGCGCTGCTTTACCTCTTCTTTCTCTGCGCTGTCCAGGTCTCTCCACTGCTCAATAGGTTGTGCCAGATCAAGGGTGTTCATTGGAATCTTTACCTCACCGATCACATCATGCTTCGAGAAACGGTCAAAGTCATACACAGACATGACCAGAGTCTTTCCTCCCATTTCAGTGAAGGGAATCTGGAAAATGAGCATCAGCACATTAGTGTGTTTATGTACAGTCAAACCAGAAATTGATCAGACAGTAAATATTATATTATTATTATTAGTGGGTGTAGGACACCATAATTCATTCATGTTAGTGAAGACAGCAAAGAAAAACAAAGTTTACTCTTCATACAGTGGACTAAAGACCAACAGGAAGTGAAGAGGTGAAGAGGCTGTTGCAGCAAGTCTGGAAATACTGAAGTTCAGCATTGATACATTTGTTCAACAACATAGACTACAGGCTGGCATTGAGGACGAGGGTGAACAACAAATAATTAACAGTTAAGTAAAATTATCATACTAGCAGTTGTCTTTTAATATTTTAGTTGATTGGGATGTATTACATATTGTGCCTCTCTATCAAGTTATCTAAAATTAGCACGATGTATTTCTACTGGCATTTTATTCATGACCAGCTGGTCATGTGCTGGCTCTAAGCTAGCCCTGATAAACAAATGACCAGCAAAGAACAAGCAAGTACTAGAAAAGAACTAATTTAAACCAGCTCATGACCACCAATAACTAGCGATATCTAGCTTAAATCAGCTCATGAGCACCAAGAACCATCAAATAACCAGCTTAAACCAGCTCATGACCACCAATAACTTGCAATATCTAGCTTAAATCAGCTCATAAACACCAAGAACCATCAAATAACCAGCTTAAACCAGCTCATGACCACCAATAACTTGCAATGTCTAGCTTAAATCAGCTCATGAGCACCAAGAACCATCAAATAACCAGCTTAAACAAGCTCATGACCACCAATAACTAGCAATATCTAGCTTAAATCAGCTCATGAGCACCAACAGCCATTAAGCAACCAGCTTAACCCAGCTAAAGACCACCAGGAACCAGCGAAGAACTAGCTTAAACCAGCTCATGACCAGCAAGAACTAATGCTCATGTCAGACACAATGCACTCAAATGGATCAAATGACGTCACTGTGAGGGGTGGGGTTAGGTGAGCCCATTAAAAAGCATTGGATGCAGCTCAGATTGCACTAGGTCTACATCCAGACCCCCACCCCCTTAAACCAGCTCATGTTTGATAAGAACCAAAAAGAACTAGTTTAAACCAGCTCATAGTCAACAAGAACTAGCAAAGATATAGCTTAAACCAGCTCATGTCTAGCAAGAACCAACACAGAACCACAGTTTTAAAAAAGCTCATGACCACTAAGAACCAGTGATAACTAGCTTAACCCATCTCATGTGCAGCAATAACTGACTTTTACAGCTAATGGCCAGCAAAAAACTAACCTGAAGTAGCATGACCAGCAAGAAAAAAAAAAAAAAAAAAAAAAATAGCCAACTTCAACCAGCTCATGCCCACCAAGAACCAACAAAAGTTAATAAACATATAGCTTTAATCAGCTGATGACCAGCAAGGACCAACAAGCAATCACCTTCAACCAGCTCATGACCATCAAGAACCAGCAGGAATCAGCAAAGAACTAGCTTAAACAAGCTAATGACTAGCAAGAACTAGGTAAAAACAAGCTCATAATCAGCAAAACTGGCAAAGAACTAGCTTTAACCAACTCTTAACCAGTATAAATCCAGCAAAGATTTAGCTTATACCAGCTCATGACCAGCAAGAACTAATTTTCAAAAGGTTCATAACCACCTTGAAGAACCAGCAAGAACGATCTTAAACCAGCTTATGTCCAGTAAGAACTGACAAGAACTAGCTTAAACCAGCTCATAACCACTAAGAACCTGCAAATAACTAGCTTAAACCCAATAGTATCTGGGTGCAGCCTTTTTGATGCAAGCTGAGATTGCATCACTCAGCAATGCAATGCACAATGCACTCAAATGGATCGAGTGATGTCACTGTGAGGGGTAGGGTTAGGTGAGCCCATTTAAAAGCATTGGATGCAGCTCAGATTGCACTAGGTCTGCATCCAGACCCCTCTCCTTAAACCAGCTCATGTTCTGTAAGAACCAAAAAGAACTAGTTTAAACCAGCTCATAGTCAACAAGAACTAGCATAAACCAACTCATGTCTAGCAAGAACCAACACAGAACCACAGTTTTAAAAAAGCTCATGACCACTAAGAACCAGTGATAACTAGCTTAACCCATCTCTTGTGCAGCAATAACTGACTTTTATAGCTGATGACCAGCAAAGAACTAACTTAAAGTAGCATGACCAGCAAGAAAACAAACAAACAAACAAAAACAAAAAAAAAAACAGCCAACTTCAACGACTCATGCCCAGCAAGAACCAGCAAAAGTTACTAAAGATCTAGCTTTAATCAGCTCATGACCATCAGGAACCAGCAAGAATCAGCAAAGAACTAACTTAAACAAGCTCATGACTAGCAAAAACAAGGTAAAACCAGTTTATTGTTAGCAAAGAACTAGCTTAAACCAACTCATAACCAGTAGAAAACCAGTAAAGATCTAGCTGAAACCAGCTCATGACTAGCAAGAACTAGCAAACAATCATCTCTAACCATTTCATGACCAACAAAAATAAGCAAAGAACTAGCTTTAATCAGCTCATGACCAGCAAGAAATGGAGTAACCTGCAACCATCTAACCAGCATATTCTGTTTTTTAAAACTATATCACATATACTGTGATGATATGAGAAATGTTGTCTTATTAGTTTTTGGTTTGACTGTATACTGGTATTGCGCTGCAGTGGATACTGTACCTTAAAATGGAAAGTTTCGTTGAAGACAGGGTTGAGGGTTTTCTTGTGCACCTTGGTGTCATACTTCTTCTTCTTGTCTGGGAGGATGAAAACTTTAACGTATGGGTCTGAGGTGCCGCCACTGTCCATGGACAGAAGATCAGCAGCTTGCAGGATGCCCACTGTCAGCTACACAAGGAGACAGACAAACATTACATATGCATATATTCAATGGCGTTTTGATCAACACAATCTCACGGCAGTTCGTAACTTTTTCATTTAGTGGCTAATTCATACAAACTCGTACGATCGAATTCGTACATTTTAGTACAATTTGCTCATCCAACAATGACAGTTGGGTTTAGGGGTGGGGTTAGGTGCCGGGCGGCGCCTTTTTAAAATTGTACAATTTCGTACGACTGAAATCGTATGAATTCGTACGAATTAGCCACTAAACTGGCAAAATGTAAAATACTTACGTTTTCTCGTGAGATCAGGCTGGATTTGATTGAAAAAAACGTGTGAAACTCAAAATATTTGGACTCTTTACAGATGCTTACAGCTGTATTTTATGTTGTCCACTGAATTTCAGGTGTAAATATGACTTAAACGTACAGTATTATTTACTCACTATTTACTCACTATCAAATGGTTCCAAACCTTTATGAGTTTCTTACTTCTGCTCAAGACAAAAGATGATATTTTTAAAGAAAGTTACAAACCATCCACTTCCATAGTAGGGAAAAATAATTGTATGGAAATCACTGGTTACAAAGTTTCCACCTTTCTTCAAAATATCGCCTTCTGTGCTCAACATATAAAGGTTTGAAGCCACTTGAGTAAAGGGTGAGTAAATGCCACAAAAAAGAGCATCAAAATTGTTGTTGAAATTACCTAATCAAACAGACTGAACCTGAAGTGGTTAAAATGCAGTATTATTTCACTATAAATGCAACCAAAACAAAATAACCAAAACCAAGACAATAAAGATGCGATAGTATGAAAGGCATAGGTAATTAATAATGAATAAATACATGCAAATGACATATGATGAACACCATTATTTTCTCATTCTTGTCATCTCGAGAACAAAACTGATTATCTACACGGTATCACTAATATGCACGCCCCATGCTGCATTTGATTGGCCATGATGTTTCCAAATGAGATTACAACAATATTTATTTGCCTTTATTTTCTAAGTTTGACTAAGCTTGTATTAAACATACTTTGGGTGTGGGACTCTTATTTTGAAAATACGGCAGGGACACTTTTGGGAACTTTTGTTCCACTGAACGTTCGCAGCTCATCAAGACTCAAAATGCAGGATATATGGATTGAGATTCATTAATCGCCTCCCCATAGAGGCATAGGTTTTGTTTAACTGTATCATTTCTCAGTTTAACATGTATATTTATAAATTAGTTTCACGTTTGTAATGTGGCAACAGACATGTATGCGCATGTGTGGAAATGAGGTACCAAATATGAGTAGACTGCTGAATATTAGTGTTTTATGCATGTTAATGCACCATTAAACTTTATAAAACTCATATCTTTATGCATCTATATTAATTTCTTCCATTGTTTTTGTAGATATTAAAGCTTCAAAATACAGCACTAAATACAGCTTAATTCCATTCGAAAGGGTCAAAACCTAGCTTTTCATTTTAAGGGTAATATCTGTGGTTAGAAATTAGCATATAAAACAAATTAAATCAAGTCACTCTATGACACCTTTAAATATTAATTCTTGCATTATACCTCAAGAGGAAACGTAAATGTTTTACGGTTTTAGTTTAGTGGCTAACTTGTATGAATTTGTACAAGCTCATTCATTCATTCATTCATTCATTCATTCATTCATTTTCATCCACTTTACCAGGCCCGGGTCGTGCGGGCAGCAGTCAAAGGAGAGAACCCCAAACTTCCCTCTCCCCAGACATTTCCTCCATCTCCATTGAGGGGATCCCGAGTTGTTCCCAGGCCAGCCGAGAGACATAGTCCCTCCAGCATGTCCTGGGTCTTCCCCGAGGCCTCCTCCCTGTGGGAAATGCCTGGAACACCTCCCTAGGTAGGTGTCCAGGAGGCATCTGAAACAGATGCCTGAGCCACCTCAGCTAATTTCTCTCGATGTGGAGGAGCAGCGGCTCTACACCGAGCTCCTCCCGGGTGACAGAGCTTCTCACTCTGTCCATAAGGGTGCGCCCTGCCACCCAGTGAAGGAATCTCATTTTGGCAGCTTGTATCTGAGATCTTGTTCTTTCGGTCATGACCCAAAACTCATGACCATAGGTGAGAGTAGGAACGTAGCCTTGCCTTTCAGCTGAGCTCCTTCTTTACTACAATGGACTGATACATTGACCGCATTATTGCTGCTGCTGCACCAATCCGCCAGTCAATCTCATGTTCCATTCTTCCCTCACTCATGAACAAAACCCCAAGATACTTGATCTCCTCCACCTGGGGTAAGGACTCTCCTCTAACCTGGAGAAGGTAAACCACCTTTTCCGCTGGAGTACCATGGCCTCAGAGGTGTTGATTCACATCCCAGCCACGTTACACTCAGAGGCAAACCGAGTACAAGTTCAGTCATTCGAATTTAAATGTACGATTTTAAAATGGAGGCATGGCACCCAACCCAACGGTCATTGGGGGTATGAGCAAATTGTGCTAAATTGTACATATGAGATGTACAAATTCATACAAATTAGCCAATAAATTAAAAAGTTAAGATTTGCCATGAGATTGTGTTGAAAATACAGCATAATATCAAAGTAAAGTGCATTTACCTGACTTGCAGAGAAATCATAGTCCAGGGAGAACTGCAGTTTGCCCAGCTTCTCTTTCTCTTTAGGTTCCTCCTCCTTCTCTTCAGTAATTCCCATGTCTATATCTTCTTCATCGTCATCCTCTTCCTGTTTCTGGAGAGACAAAAGCACAGATGGCGTTACAGGAGAAACTGGAGCAAAGGCGACTGAAGGTAAATGAAGTTCCCCAAACATGGTTCAACTGGGCCAATTCTCAGCTTACCTGAAGTAAGTTGGGTGTCAAACCACCCGGGTGTTACTGTATGTAACTGTGTCAGCGATGACCTTCAGAGCAACATGACTTGATTTCACTTTTCCTTTCATGACACCATTTTGTAACTTTCTACATTACTTTTGTGGAGAAAACGATAGGCGGCTAGTTTTTCTAAAGCAGACTGTCCATAAATTGATTCTCAGTCTGCAGGGTATAATAAAGCCCTGAGATGGAGTCTAAAACACTCAACTTCACACAGGAACTAAAGATTCAGGAGATACAGGAGGGAAATGTTGCTGCTTTAAATGGAGTTCACACCAAATGGAAAAAAAAGTGTCATAATGTACTTATTTCAGAGCTGTTTGACTTTCCTTCTTCTCTTAAACAAAAAGAGAATATTCTGAAAATGATTGAAACTGTTAGCTATTGACATATTTGCAGTATGGAAGTCAATGGCTAATGGTTTCCAATCAGGGGCGGATTGGCCATCTGGGAATTCTGCCAAATGCCAGAAGGGCCTGACCATTTTTTTAAATATGGGCCGGTCAGTCATTTTTTTTTATATGTATTGTTTTTATATGCAGCCAACTTTTATCTCTTGCAAAATGTGAATATTATCAAGATGATGATGATGATGATGATGATGGTGATAATAGTACTAATAATAAATGTTAAGCATTTAGCCCAATTGGCAAGATTTTAAGATGGGCCAACCCAATCAGAGGTTACGCTGGCATAATCAAAATTTGGCAAGAATGTCAAACAAACAGTAAGTGCAACACAAGGTAATTGTCAGAGATGGACCATTAAAAAGGAAAGGTGGTGCCGAAAAGCTTAGAGGTACAGTGGGTTGTTTTGTTGACTCACAGCAAGAAGGTCGCTAGTTCGAGCCTTGGCTGGGTCAGGTGGCATTTCTGTTTGCATGTTCTCCCCATGTTCTGAAAGGGCATCTGCTGCGTAAAAAATATGCTGGATAAGTTGCCGGTTCATTTCGCTGTGGCAATCCCAGATTAATAAAGGGACTAGGCCAAAAACAAAATTAGTGAATAAAATGAATGCATGTATAAATTTGTTATAATTGTGCTGTTTTTGTTCCAGTCACATACATTGAATGTTTAAATATCTATTACATATGTTACTCCTTATATTATATTATTAATGTGTCTGTGGGTGGGGCTGTGTCGGTATGGTAAAGTGGGCTGGTGTGGCTACAGTGCCAGGGCTGATTTTTAGTCCCAGCCGCCCCTGTTTCCAATATTCTTCTTCTTTTGTGTTTGATAGATAAAAAAGACAGGTTTGGAAACATTTGAGTAAATGGTGATTTTTTTTTTTTTAGATGAACTCTCTTTAAAGCGAACACATGGTTTAGTTCAATGTAAAATGATGGACAATTTGTAAACAAATATAATTTTACACATCATTATTTCACATGGTTCCTCCCTGCCGCTCTTCAAAATGACAATGGTGAAGTCATGAAATGAATCTTAATGAACTTATATCGTTTACTTTAATTTAGCCTAATGCTTCTGTCGTAATTAATGTTTTTGTGCCCTGTGCTGTAGTTAAGTATTGTGGAAATATTACATGACTGTCAAGTATGCGCTATATACCGCAGAATATATCATCATGATGCAATCTAAAGTTTTAAAATCAGAATTAAAAGTAACATATTGAAGAAATTATAAATCTAATAAATTAACAATAAAGTGAAATAGAAAAATATTTCAACTTGAATGAAACTGTTAGTCTTTTCTTTTTAAAGATAAGCCAAGGCCACAAAGTCTGAAACATTCTTCGCTTTGAAAATCCTTTCAATTATATGTGGGCGCAAACATATTCTTTGCTAGAATTTGCCAAAGTATGTGAGGTCTGTGGCATTAAATCTTATTCAAAGTTTAGTTCGAGGCAGCGGAAAATAAATGAGATAGTTAATTCATAACTATGTATCATACTTTGTTGAAAACAGTCTGTGCCTATTAGTTTTTAGTGAACAGAAATGATTTTGAAGCTCTGCCCACATTTTACATTAACGTTAGCTGTGTTTTCTTCATAAGTGCTTTTTAAATTCGGGTCGCTTGCCAGTTAAAAGAGATAATTCACCTAAAATAAACTGAACATTTTGTGATCATTTACTCAGCCGTGTGCCGTTATAAACCCATTCTACCAAAACTTTGATGAGATTCACAAAGAAAAAAGGAATTTATATGAATCAAGCAGTGTACTGGAAGTCTTCTGAAGAGACATAATTGCTTAATGTGATGGATAGATTTAATTTAGACTTTTATCCACTAAAATAATACTAATCCATATTATTTGTTCAATGTATATAGTGCATTTTAAATGCTGTGCTGAAGAAAGGAACTCTGAAGTGTCAAAGTTTTGGTGAAACTCTCAAAAACGTCTTCTCTATGATGACATCACACGTTATTTCAATCCACTAATGATGACTGGGCGAGCAAAGTGTAGTCTGATATCCTTCTTGTCCATGACACAACACGAATTTAGGAATCAGAAAGACATTATCTTACCCGATGACCATTATTACAGACTGAATTTTGTGTAGTCTGAACCAGGCATATCTTGTACCATATTTAAGTGTAACACTCAACGATATCTATATAGTGCATAAAAAAGTGTGAATAGCCCTTTAAGGGTTTGGAAAGACACCAGGTTGATTAAATGATTACAACATACTTTTCCCTCCTAAAATTTAAACAGTACTTTTTATTATTTTATGTCAATTCTTAATTCTCCAGGGGCCTCATGTATCAACGCTACGTACGCACAAAAACTTTGCGTACGCCAGGTTTCACGCTCAGAATCACTCACGTTTGGATTTACTAACAATGAACTGAACGTGGGAATGTGCGCAGCTTCACGGCAGCTTTCTGGCTGGCGTACGCACATTTTTTGTGCGTGTCTGTTTTTTCCATTGGCGACTCCTAGAGGCAGTTGTATTAAATTCCTCTCTACAAAGTGTCTGAGCCTTGCAATGGCAGCTGTATGAGACGGGTTCATCTAGTAGGTATGTAAGGTTTCCATACCATACAGTTGACCAGCTAAACATTAAAGCACAATTTGCAGCAGTCGCCTGTTTTCCCAATGTAATCTGAGCTATCTATTGCACGCACATTGCTATAAAGACACTAATTGAAGATGAATTTGCATGCGTGAATCAGAAACATTTCCATTCAATAAATGTGCAAATAAAATATGATGCACAAACTTATTGATGATTCCTACTTGTCTTTCTCTTGATAAATAGTGGGCAAAATCTGATATGTAGCGGGGGAAAAAAAGAAGAAAGAGTTCATCAGACGCTGGATTCGAACCGAGTTTGTGCTCGAACGTGTCAATACATGATCACATGCGTCTTACGAGGTGCGCCACAGAGACTGATAAGGGTATTGCAACATTTTACAGATATAAACCACACTATTTCCTTTTTTAATGCACTCAGTGCGATGTTCAGACCCAACTGTGTTAACCGCATCAGCTAAACTCTCCCACTCTATTTTTTTCTTTTGTTGTTAATTCCGGAGAACAAACTTGCAAATAACACCGCTTTTCTCCGGTCTACCTCCGAAAGCAGCACCTCCATTTCACATTCTGTTCAAAGTTTCTCTTTTTGCTTGATTTTGCCATTGCTTTTTCGTTGGGATTTTCCATTAGCATAGTCATTAGCATATTCATACGGGGGAGGAGGCAGGGAGGGGTTTTGTGCTCGTGCATGTTGCGCTCAGTTTCACGTTCATTCGGATGTACAAAAGAATATGCGTGAGATTCGGCGTACGCAGTGTTTCATACATCTGAATTTTTTTCTGCGTACGCACATTTACAGCTTTGTGCGTACGCAATGTTTTAGTAAGATTTCCACGCAAGTCTTCGTACATGAGGCCCCAGATGTTTTTTTCCCTTTATATGAGCCTTGTTCCAAGTAGTACTAACATTCATTTTCAGTGATCCAATCACAACATTCCAGCAGAGATGCTCAGTAAAGTGTATGAGATTTTCAAAAATGTACTCTAGTGCAGTGGTTCTCAAACTATTTTCACCAAGTACCACCTCAGAAACAAAATGTCTCTCCAAGTACCACCTTAATCAACAGTATTAAAATAATTTATCGTAACTGGCCAAATTAAGCAGCTACAGCACTGCACAGTTCGAAAACCAGAGTCATATTCAAATAACGAAATTATATTCCATACAAAATATGAAACCGATCAGTCGGTTATCATCACGTGACTCACGGTGCAGCATTCTGAAAAGTTAAGATTTTTTCAACTGTGGACGCCTGGAATGCGCAAGCGCGTCGCGCTGCAGTTCTTACTTATTTTGCTAGCCTGTGGATTCAATTTTGGCACTCAAGTGACCGAGATGTAACAAGAGAATAAGCTCATTTTCAAAATAAGTGATCGTTCAGACTCAGATTATAAATAAAACGGAAATTCATGATTTTTTGTGCGGCCGGCTACCAATTGATCTACAGACCGGTGCCGGTCTGTGGCTCAGGGGTTGGGGACTACTGCTCTAGCATGTATCTGCTCTGCAAGTACCATGCACCTCTTTCTCTAGTTCTGCCCCAATTGAATCGATTTTTAGCAGCTTATAACTCGATGCACTAAGGTAAACATTTTAAACACATCGCTTTGATCGTAGGCTTTAGAGAACAGCCAATGCTGATCACATTGGTGTTAATGTACGCATCAAATGATTAAATTGGGTTAATTTTTTCTTTCATTACTCAGTGATTCCTCCATGTACCATAGTTTGAGAACCACTGCTCTAGTGGATTTATGGGAAAAAAAAATAAAAAATCTTCCCCAAAATGTAGCCCTGGGCATGTATCTCCAATGAGCCTGGGCTACAAATAAAGGTACAAAAGCTGTCACTGGGGTGG